TATAATTTTAACACAAAATAACTTAATAATTATTTATATACAAATACAAATAATAAATAATAGTATATTATATATAATATATATACAATATTATAAAAATTTAAAAATATAATAAAAAAATATTTTTTTCAGGCACATTCGGGCGGGCTCGGGCAGCCAAAACCAAGCCTGCGGACCGTCCATGGGTCTTCTCCGGCTCGGACATGTGGGTTCGGGTGTCGGGCCCAAATTCAGTTTTTTCAGGCAGTCGCGGGTGGCCCGTACGTCCAAAGTTCCAGCACTAATCGTACACGTGTCATTATGTGTCTCAGAGAATAGGATCAAATTAAGAAATCGCCAACCAAAATAGGTTCCAAGCGGTCAGTAGCTCGCGGGGTCCCAACGTTGCCCAAACGACCAATCCAGTAGCCCGCTAGACGAGCAGTCAAACATACATGCCAGCTCAGCATTCGAGAATTAAGTACGAAGATTTCATCTCTAGCAAGAGTATTTAGTATTAAACCAAGGATCACGTCTAGAAAAGTAAAGGGGAAAGTTAATCATCTCACATGCTTGCTCCCTAAGCATCATCCCTATAAGAAAAGATCTCCTAGAGGATCATCAATCAAAAGTAAAACGGGAAACTATCCAAAGGCTTATTTTTCAGCGACATCCTATAAATGCATACCATAGGCGTCCCATACAAGGATTCATGCATTTCTACACATGTTTTCACCCATTCAAGCATATTTTCTCTCTTTTTACATACTTTTTAGTATTTTCTCACACTATTTCTCTTTGTATTCACGGAGAGCATCATTGCATTCAACTCTTCAATCATAGTGAAACTACCGAAGACTCTACAGTGGATCCACCCTAAGTTATCAGGAGAACCATAAAATCTCTGTGTCCTTATTTCTTTTATTTTACTGCTCATTTATTTCATTGCGTATGCGATACTGACGTCATCCTCTGAATTCAATTATTGGCCTTATAATAAATTTAATTGTAGATTTCACCATCTACAATATCAAAATTGCTACACGAAGGTGCGTTTGGAATTAATTTTTATTTATTTTGAAATCGTTTTTGCACATCTTTTAAGGTACGAAAATGAAAAAGGTCTACAAATCGTGTTTATTTAGCAAATATATTAAAAATGAAAATGAAAATAAAAAATAGTGAGAATGATTTTTATAAAAAAAATAAAAAACACTTGAAAATTATTTTCTTTTTTTTTATTTTTATTTTTTAATATTTATCAATAATATTATAATATATTAATTAATAATTATAAATATGATTTCACTTTTTTATTATATTCAAAAAATATCTTAAAAAATTAACTAAACATAATTTTAAAATTAATCTCAAAATAATTCTCAAAAGAATTATATTTTTATTTTTATACTAAAAATAAAATTATTTTAAAAACGTTATCGCCGAAATCTTGAAACTCCAAACAAAAAGGAAAAGGGATAAAATTTCTCCCTTAAAAAAAAAAAAGAAAATTTCAGGCGGGCCCAATTGTCCATAACGACACGTGTTGAAATTTCATTTGTGGGAGCATCTAAATCTCCGTCTACCCTCAACAACTCTCTCTCTCTCTCTCTCTCTCTTAGAGAGAGAAAAACGCCTTCCATTTCATTCCCCCCCCCCCCCCCGAAAACGCTCCCACTGCCCCTGTACCCACTCCTGTCAAGCTTCGGGTCCGAACCTCCCGCTTCGTCCTCCGAACCTCAGCCTAGATCCGAACCTCAGTCTTGTTCCTCAGTTCGTTGAAAATTTCGCACTATTTCGATCACTTTATCTCTCTCTCTCTCTCTCTCCTCCTTGCTTCTTCTTCTTCTCTCTCTCTCTGCTCGAAGACGCCCATTTCTCCGCCCGATTCAAACCCTTAGAGCTTTGCGATCAGAGCTTGTTGGAGGATCAGCTTCGAGCTTCAATGGCCGCCTCTCGACGTCACTGTGAGTCCGCAACCTCCATTTTTTCTTTCTATAAAACCCTAATTTTTCCGTTTCCGCTGCCATTTGCGGTTTCGAACGCGAATCCGTGCTAGGGTTTTGGCGCTTTAGTCTTTGTCAGCTTCGTTGCAGCTCGTGGAGTTGGAATTTAGGGAGTTTTCTCTCGATCCTACCCGTTTTGGAAGTGGATGCTAGATTTTCCGGGAAAAATTTGCGATTTTAGGCTCTGTTTGGTTGCTAAGAAATGGAGGAGGGGAAATGGATTAAAGATTGGTTCTTTAGGCCCGTTGTTGTTGTTCTTTTCCTGTTCCGAGATGAAAATTTTGTTACGCCACTTCTAAACCTCGATTTTGCTTCGTTCCCTTTTCGTTTTCCTTTCGTTTCTCTGGTTATTATAGGAAATGTTTAGCATTAAAAGTTTGTCTTCTGCTCCCAAAGCGTGTACTTTTTGGAAGAGAACTTGAGGGGAAGTTATTGTTTTAGATTTATGCTGGTTCGTTGATTTTATATGTGATGCCCCTCCATATTTTCTTTGATTCTATTGTGTAGTGCATAATATCTAGTATTTTGATTTAGTGAACATTAATCATCCCCATCGTTGTCTCATCATTCTAAGCAAGTGATTTGGGAGCAGCTTCGTGGAAATTGGTCCATTATACTCCTTAACGGGTTGATGGATGGGTGAAAATTGTTGGGAATTTTTTAAGATATTGGGTTGAATTTTTGGGATGGTCCTAGCCGATAAAGGGAGATATGGATAGGTGCAATTTTGAGTTACAATTCGGTTGTATGAAGATCAAGACATTATTCATTTACATTTTTTCCGATTTGGTTAGGGACTGGCAATTGTTGATGCAGTTTATTATTATTATTATTATTTATTTTCTTACGATTGTTCCGTCAGTTTTTTTCCATTTTTATGATCTTTTTATTCGGGTGGACTTCCTGTCCTTTTTGCTTTATGCTTCATTATTCTTTTTGCCTTAATGTTGTTTTGTTCCCCCCTCCCCCTCCCGCTCCTCCTCCTCTCCACCACCACCAAAAAAAGAAAAAACGATGATGGGATATAGTGTTCAAGTTGTTTGACGTGATCTATATCTCCTGATGTGGGCATGGTTGGGCATTAAATTTTTCCTGTCATGGACTTGTAACTTAGTTGTTTCAGTAAAATTATATACGTACATGCAAGGGCGTAGGAAAACATGGTTGTGGAAAGACATGAAGATCCAAAATTACCTTTTAGGTATCATTATGTGGATGGTTTTGAGAAACTTAGGCTTAGGTATATCTTACCAGCCATAATGATATTGGCGTTCCTTTGATTTGTGGTTGACATAAAGGCTTGTCATCATCTCTATGAGGAAAAAAGGTTCTCCTTTGGCTACTTAAATGGTACAAATATATAGTGGTAAAAGACCAGGACTCAAAGGGAAAGTTTATCCTAAGTTATTGCTTGGCTTTGTCTGAAACGAAGGTCTATCTATTAAAGTTTATTCTGTTGCTATTTTGTTGATGAGGTAGAGGGTTCTCAAGATGATATCAAGACATGCGAATTTTATTAGATGCGAGTGGGACAGATGGGTTTTTATTTAAGGCATTTGGCAACGCATTATGTGGAAAATAACAGGAAAAAAATATAGAATAACGTGAACTTTTAGTGAACAAACGCAGATCTAGAATTCAACGTCCATTGTAGATAATCTCTTAGTGGTGGCGAGATAAAATTTCTTGAAACTTGAGAGTCTTGTAATGGAGCATTCAGCTTCAAATCCACTGTATTATTGTACTAATGCATAATGAAGTTTTTACTGTACTAGGTTCTTTAAACTGAATTCTATAAGATATGCTGTGCTAAGGAAAGTATATCTTACATTATGCAGCCATCAAATAGTGCCAATATTTTATGATTATGGTTGAATTGGAAATGTAGAGGTTTAACTTACTTTCGACGTTGCTAATAAGACTTGATCATTATTCCGTAGAGAACATTGTACTTAGATATTTCTTGTCTATCTTAATATTTGACAGTTATAGGGACAAATTCTGTAATTTTTTCTTGCAATTTGTCAGTAGAGCATGCTAGTGACATGAGGTAGAACTGTAGAAGTTTGGCTATGCTCGAAGGAAGTTAGTTGGAGGCTGAGGAATGGTTTTGTTCCCTTTTAGACATTGAATATTTTCTGCATTTGAGATGGTTGTACTTGTTAGTTACACCTAGAAGCCAGGTTTGACATTCATTTAGAAATAATGGGAGAGAAGGATGTTGTCTCATGAGGAGGTTCTTGTTGTGATGCAAAGGGAAAAAGGTCTAAATCTTCCAATATATCATCGAGTTTTATGTGTATAATTTGAATGACAATGTTGGTAGATGTAATAACCAATCATATTTTCTTAAAAACACTGATATTTCAGCTGCTTTGGTGTGTTGACCGGAACGAACAAGAACATATGACGTATTAATTACCGTTGGCTGGATAATATATCTTTTCACCTACAAACTTTGCTTGTTTATTCTGCTTTTGGCTTTAATTTTACTTGACATGCTGACATGCTTATGTGCAGGACAAGTTTTGTCTGTTAGGAATATGGTAACTGAAGTGATACATAAATGAGTTGAGCGAGGTGGGTGCTGAATATTATTATTTTTCGTAAATTTACAATATGAACTCTAGGAGGTAAGTTCTTTTAATATTTGTTCATATTCTCCTTAGGTAGTTCTTTTGCCATTCAAAACTTCAGCTTCTGAAAATTTTTGAGCTGGATTATCTATGCCTGGCAACGAAGTTGGTGACAGGGTCCACAATTTCTTTGGCCAAGAGAACCTGTCACATGGCCAGCATCATTCACAGGCCATTGACGGGAACTGGCCAGGCCTTAGTAACAATTTGTGGGTTGGTGGGCAGAGACAGATTGGTGGTCCATTTATCTCTAGTTTAAAGAATTACAATGTACAGCAACCAGGTATAAGTGATTAACCTTAAATATAGTAATTTGATTGTGTTCTTTGTAAGTGTTTACCATTTCAGTCCAGATGTCGTATGCTTTTGACATATACAGAGTTGCATTTCTAGCGATTATCTAATCTCATTTTTTTTCTTTTTCTTTTTGGTTGGCAGATCCAGAGAGAGGCCATGGGAGTCAATCTTCACATATGCCTCATGGTTTGAACTTTACTCAATCAAATTTGAAGCCTGAGTTCGGTAGAGTTCAGTCTCCTAACCATCAGCCGGCTCTCAATGGCTATGTTCATGGGAATCATGTTTACCAGACAAGGCAAAATGAAGCAAACTTTTTGGGAGTGGATACAGACACTAACCGGCATAATTTAGTGGCAAGAGGCGTCTCTATGTCTCAGCAAGTAAATGGTGCTGAACATAATAAAAAACATTCAATGAGGTTGGACGCTTCTGAATCTCCTGTTAGTTTTGATTTTTTTGGAGGTCAACAACAAATGAGTAGCCAGCATCTAAATGTGCTGCAATCTATGCCGAGGCAGCAAACAGGGAATAGTGACATGCAGCTACTACAACGACATGTGATGCTTGCACAACTTCAAGAATTCCATAGACAGCAACAGCTTCAGCAATTAGAATCAAGACAACAGAATGTTACAAATCAGGTTCCCTCGTTTGTAAAACAGACAGCTGGTAACCATTCACCATCGTTGATCAATGGCGTTCCCATCAATGAGGCATCTAACAATTTGTGGCAGCCTGAGCTTGTGGCAAGTAACGCCAACTGGCTGCAGCGTGGGGCATCCCCCGTTATACAAGGGTCGTCTAGTGGACAAGTGTTTTCTCCTGAGCAAGGCCAGGGACTACGCTTGATGGATACAGTACCTCAACAGGCTGAACAATCACTTTATGGGGTTCCAATTCCTAGCACAAGTGGCACACCTGGTTCCTACTCCCATATTCAAATGGATAAAGCTGCAATGCAGCAGATATCAGCCAACAATAATTCTTTGTCAGGTAATATGTATGCCACATTTCCAGGTCAGGTTAGCATGCAAGAGGGAGCTAGACAGGACTTTCAAGGGAAAAATACTTTTGGGTCTGCCTCTGGTCAAGGGTTAAGCAGTGGGTTTAATTTGGAAAACTTGCAGCAGGCTAATCCCCAGCAAAGAAGTCCACCCATGCAGGAATTTCAAGGGAGACAGGAGGTGACTGAATCTTCAGAACAATCGCATGATAAATCATTTGCCCAGGTTTCCTCTTCACAGAATGTGGCTACCTTGGATCCAGCAGAAGAGAAAATTTTGTTTGGTTCTGATGACAATATATGGGAGGCCTTTGGCAGGAATACTAATATGGGAATGGGATGTTATAATATATCGGATGCTTCAGAATATTCTGGTGGATTTCCTGTTGTGCAAAGTGGGAGTTGGAGTGCTCTTATGCAATCTGCTGTTGCTGAAACATCTAGTGGTGATACAGGGATACAAGAAGAATGGTGTGGCCCCAGCTTTCAAAATTCTGAACCTCCAACCAGGAGTCAGCAGCCATCAACTGTCAATCATGGCGGAAAACCAGAAGGAGTTTGGGGTGATAACAACTTTCAGCTTGCTGTTGCACCAAATTCTAGACCATCTTCTCTCTCAGTTGATGCCAATAGGCCTAGTATCAATTCTCTTAGCCTTCCACAATTTCAGCACCAAGGATTCAGAACTTCACAGGTGCAGGGTGACGTCTTGCAGACTGATTCTTCTCAAAGAGCTGTTCCAAAGTTCTCAGAACAAGAAAATAAATGGTCAGATCGTGGCCCTTTACAGAAGCAATCTGTGGAAGGCAGTCAAATATATGCAAGTGTTAGTCATCCGCCAGGTGTAGAAACAAATGCAAATAGCAATTCGGGATCTTGGACTCGTCAACAAAGCACATCCTCACATAATAGTGATACTCAACTGTACAATAGAGCAAATGGCTGGAACTTTATTGATTCTATGCCAGCAGATGGAGGTGACAATTTTAGAAGTCCTGAGAATAAAAACTCATTACCTGCTCAAAGTGGTGATTGTAAGAGAGGAATGCATGATGAAATGGGGCATGCTGCTGGTATTTGGAGGACGGAATCTATTCCAAATACAAATGCTGAGCCGGAACATGCAAAAGCTTCGGTAGGAAGCCCACAGGTAGGCAGGGAGGTTCCCAGTTTGAATAATATAGCAATCTCCAATTCCAGTACCATGAGACCAAACCAGGAAAGTAGGCAACAGCTTCCTAGTAGTCAAAAACTTGATTTTTGGAAGGTTGTAGATTCTTCCGTAAACTCGAAAGGCGGTGAAGTCTTGGGGAAAAACCAGCATAATCTGGGTAAGAGTCCTAAAATTTTAGAGTCCTCAGGGAATACTGGTATGGATAGGAGAGTGGTTGAAACACATGAAGTGGATAACTTCAATGATAAAGATAACTCCACTGACGGTTTCCGCTCTAGTGTACTCCATCATACTTCTACTGCTGGTTCGAAGGAAAATGCTTGGTCAGATGTTGGCGACTCACGTACTTTTCCTGGCGGCAAACAAAAACTATCTGGTAATGGTGGTCGGAGGCCGTCTGGAATTCGCAAATTTCAGTATCATCCAATGGGGGATGTTGATGTTGACAATGAACCTTCTTATGGAGCAAAACATGGGACACATTCACAGACCTTGCCCCAGCAGGTCTCACGAGGAATAAAAGGTTACGACCAAGGCAGTTTTGGGCAGTCAAAATTTGGTCAGACAGATAAAAGTTCCTTGGAAATGGAGAAGGTGATCAATATATATTGTTATATTAGTTAGTGATTTCACTATTATTTGTGCAGTTCAGGTTTTCTTATTACTTTTCATTTGACTTACAATAATATTACAAAATTTGTTATTCACACTTTCTTCGTCTCAGGGGCATTTACCTGGTGTTCAAGGTGACACAAAAGGCTTACATGCTACAACTTCAAAAAATATGTTTCCTGGTTTTGCACCAGTTGCGTCTGCTCCATTTGACAGAGGCATGGGCAACTATGCCCCAAACCAAGTCCCGCCATCAAGGTAATTAAAATATTTTTTCAATTTTTTTTATCTAATTTTCTTTCTAGGGTTTAAGTACTATCAAGCTTTTTGATTGGCCACTGTGGGTAGTATTGGTTTTCTGGGGTTTTAGTTTTAGCTTTCCCAATAGTTTTGTTTATTTTGCATTTTGTAATCCACAACACACACACACACACACACACACGCATATATATATATATATATATAAATGTTTTTGTTTTTCCCCCCTGAAGGTTGTCTGTCCTGGTGATTGGTTCTGGAGGAGATTTAGGTTGTTTTTTTTTCATAAAGTCAAATTTTTTGAGGGCCCTGCTTGTGTCTTTATTACTGTTTTTGTTGCTTTAATCTTTCCTTAACAAGTGTCCTTTTCATGTTGATCTTAAATGATTTTCAGTTTATATTTTGAACATTTTTCTTTACATGTTCAAATGATGTTTACAATCTGGGAATTAAGTTGAATTTGGACTTCGATGGTTTCACTTTCTTGCAGTCAACATATGCTTGAGCTTCTTCACAAGGTGGATCATCCAAGGGAACATGGCAGTGCTACACGCCTCAGCTCTTCTGAACGCAATATGTCTTCTGAGATGCCTGAAGCAGAAACGTCGGAGGGATCTGTTGGTCATGTTCAGCGGAATCAGCCGTCTACTTCACAGAATTTTGGTTTGCAATTGGCCCCTCCATCTCAACGTCTTTCCAGTTCAGACCATGCTGTATCTTCACAGAGCTACTCACATACAGGTTTTGGTTCAGCTCATGTCATGCATGAGGTAGGAGAAAAGGGTCCCATGCAGTTGGCTTCGAGAGCCTCTACTGTGCCCGTGCCCTCTTCGTATGAACCATCTCAGGGACACGGAAATAATATTTCTACTACATCAGGACAGGTTGGCAATAAAGCTTCATTCTCCAATATTCAGGGAAGTTATGCTACAACTTTCGCTTCTGGTTTTCCTTATGGAAGAAATCTTGAAAATCAGAATATGCATGCTGCAAGCGGACGAATAATGGCAAACCAATCTGTTAATTTACCTTTTAGTAGGCTTTCCTCTGGTTCCAAACAGTTAGATGGTTCTTCTGAGATAGCTCAAGCTTGTCCCTCTGTCCCATTGCCAATGCCAGATGTGTCTGCGAGTACTCCACAAAGTAAGCTTGCTTCCTCCATAGAGGCATTCCAGCTGAGTGGTACCGACCAAACCCCTAAACAGAGTCCAGCCCAGCAGATCCTGGAATCAGATGTAGGACCACCCACTCAGCCTTCTGTCCAACAAGGCACCTTTTCTAAAGTGTTGCCCAATGCATGGACCAGTGTTCCACGTCAGCAACTTTCTTTAACTGCCCAGCCTTCCAAGATGGCGTCCAGTTCACTCAAATCTCAGCTTCGACCTAATAGCAGTTCTGTAACAACATTTCCTGCATCACCAAAGCTCAATGAGCAAGATTCCATGGAAGGAAGAAATGGATTGCCTGGGATTGGTGTTATTTCAGCAAATTCTCAAAGCTTTGCTGAGAAGGAACAACAAGACAAAGAAAGCTCTGGGCAGCAAGTGTCGCCTGACAAGGTTGACACTGCTCAAAAGACATTGACTGCATCACTGGGAAAGGAATCTGTTGTAAATCATTTCTCCGAGACATCTGTTGCAAGCCATGCTGCTACCCAGAGAGATATTGAAGCTTTTGGCCGTTCTTTAAGACCTGATAACAGTTTGCATCAAAATTATTCTCTGCTGCATCAGGTGCAAGCTATGAAGAGTACGGAGACCGACTCGACTGATAGGAGCACGAAGAGGTTAAAAGGTCCTGATTTTGGAATGGATCCTCAGCACGTAGGTCCTGGGGGAGGGCAGCAGTCTTCTTATGGGTATAATATTACTGTGAGAGATTCGGCAGCTAATCATACCTCAATTCCTTCTGGAGATTCAAAAATGCTAAGTTTTTCCTCCAAGCTTGGGGATAATCGGGATTCCAATTCATCTTCTCAGGACATGTTTCAATTTAATCAGAACAGTTCTAATAATTTCCCTAGTGGTGGCAATGCACCTTCTATTAGAGGTGAGCCTCCTCAGATCAGTCCCCAGATGGCGCCGTCTTGGTTTGATCAGTATGGAACCTTTAAAAATGGGCAAATGTTACCAGTCTATGATATGCAGAGAAGTACCGCAATGAAGTCTGCGGAACAGCCTTTTGTGGGTGGAAAGTTGGCTGATGATCTGCATGCTCGAGGTTCGTTGGAGCAAATTAATGCTTCTTCTGATGGTAGTAAACTTGGTAGCGTCCTGCAAGTTTCTACTCCCACATTGGCAGCCAGTGAGCATTTAACCTCCTCTCATTTGATGCCTCGTGCCAATGATCAAAGCTTGCTTGTTGTGAGACCAAAGAAGCGAAAAAGTGCTACATCTGAACTTTTACCTTGGCATAAGGAGCTGATGAAGGTTTCCCAAAGGCTACAGACTATCAGGTGGTTGGCATGAGGCATTTCTCTTGGATAAATTCTCCGGTTTTAAATAAATTGCTAGCATTTTCTGTTTGTTTTGCATTCGGTCACTTTACTTCTTCTCTCTTATTGGAACGCATTCCATTGTCTGGTTTTACTTTTCATACATAAATATGCATCTCTATTTCTTAGTAATTGTTATTTTCCTTGACGCTTTACTTAAGAATAACTTACTACGCTGTATTTTTGATAAATTCTATTTTTTCCCCAGCATGGCAGAGGCAGAGTGGGCTAAAGCGACAAACCGACTGGCTGAGAAGGTTTCTTCCTAGTTAAACCACTTGCTATTAGTTAGCTGTTATGAGATATTATTTTTATTATTATTTTTTAAATCACCTTTTTCTGGAGTATACTAACTACTTCCTCTCATAAAATAGGTGGAAGATGAAGCTGAAATGGTTGAAGATGCACCACCAGGGCTTAGGTTAAAAAGAAGGCTTATCTTGACGACACAACTCATGCAGCAGCTGCTTCACCCTCCTCCAGCAGCTGTGCTTTCTTCGGATATGAGCTTGCAGTATGAGAGTGTGGCTTACTTTTCTGCGAGATTGACATTAGGTGATGCATGCAGTGCAGTTTGTTGCTCTGCAAGTGATGATCCATCGCCTGCTGACAGTAAAAATCTGTAAGAATCATCTTTAAATCATTTAAATTCTCCCTATATGAGTATGATGCATCAGATTGATGTTTTATGGTTCTAGAAATCTAGTACTGTCCTTTACATGCTAACATTAAGTTTACACATGCTTCATAGCTTGCCTGAGAAGCTTACAACACCCGTGAGAATTGATAAATACTACTCAAAAGTTGTTGAAGACTTTATTGGTCGTGCAAAGAAGCTGGAAAGTGATTTGTTGAGGTAGCCTGAGTCCTTCCCAACCCCCTCCCCCTCTTTATTTTTATTTTTGTGTGGAAATTGTATGTAGCTGGGAGTTTCTGCTTGTCCGTTTATTTTTGTGTTCTCTCTCTTGATGTTTCTACTAATGCCGCCTCCTACTGGTTCAGACTGGACAAGAGAGCCTCAATCTTAGACTTAAGAGTGGAATGCCAGGATCTGGAGAAGTTTTCTGTTATAAATCGATTTGCCAGATTCCATGGTCGAGGGCAAGCTGATGCGGCAGAAAGCTCGTCTTCTGATGGAAGTCTAAATGCTCAGAAATCGTGCCCACAGAAATATGTTACAGGACTTCCAATGCCTAGAAATCTGCCAGACAGGGTACAATGTCTTTCACTTTGATAATTAATTAATTGATTTTTCCCTCTGTCAATTGTCTCCACGTCCCCCATGCTTATCATCCATTTTCTTTCAACTTATAAAATGGCACATGATTTGCCACAAAGTAGCACACAGAAGGGATTGTAGGAGAAGAATGGATTAATGTCTCCTTGAAAGCAATGGAGACTGTTAGGTCTTGGAATCTAGGTCGTTGATGTTATTCTTGAAATTTATAAGATGGCCTGTGTATACTTTGAAAAATCTAGAAAGGAAACTGCAATGCCCCACCATTTTTTTTAATTAAGGGGGAGGATCATGAAACTGCGCTCTGGTATTTCAAAGTTGTTCGCAAGGCTATAAAGCCCAGGTATCAAATGATGTTTTTTCATTCCTATTTTACACCCCAGCGCC